TCTGTTAGCGAATATGATCGAGATGCTCCGCGAGAATGCCGACGACCCGCCCACAGAACTGAAGGGAGTTCCAAACAGCTTCCTGGATGAATTGGAGCGAGTGCCAAAGAAAGCGCTGAAGCCTTCAGACACCTGCCCAATTTGCGTGAACCCATTCCTTGAAGGTACGTCGCACGTCTCAAAGACCCAATGGAGAGCTTGGCTGATGGTGATTGCATAGACAAGTACCCACTCGTAGTCCAGCTGCCCTGTCACGACGATCATCGCTTCGATCTGGACTGCATAGGACCTTGGCTCAAGCTGAACTCCACATGCCCTCTTGATCGCAAAGAACTGTTAAAAAAGAAACAACCGCCGCCACCGCCTGCGGATGATGACGAAGAAGACTACGATGATATGTACGCCTGAAAGGTCTCACTCTGCGTTACGTTGCGTCGGCGTTTGGGAATACCAGCAGATAGCGGATGAACATAGGTGATCTCGATCGTCATGCGCACACGCGGAACCTTCCCGGTATTGACAGTGATCAAATGCGGAGACACTCTAGGGGTAGGAAATTAACGGTAGTTTGGCGCCGGCCTTCGCTTCCAACTCGTGGATCAAATGGAATCCAACATATCCCCCCCTCCATATCCATCCTCCTTTCTGACTGAACAGGTCACTCGGTGGCCTCCCTCGCCAATTGTTGGCCTCGTTGTACGAGCGTAGAAGGTAGCAACAGCTCTTCACTGCCATGTACGACTGCGTCCACGAGTGCAAGCGCAAGCTCATCAAATCGGATGAAGGAGCCAGAAGAGCCAGCCATCATCATGGAAGCCTCACCAACAATACTACCTCTTTGTACAACCATGCCTGGCCGAGCTATGATCGTTCTCCAGCTTTCATTCATCTTGGCGAACTCAAGCATTTGAACTTCTCCTCGGCCCTACGCAGAGTCAGCACGTTTGGCAGCTTGCCCCGGATCATTCTAACTGCAATTTGCGCACATGGTGTCACAAAAGAACAATAATCGCCTACCTTGATCTTGCGCATCGAGCCTTTCATCCATAATGACTTCTCCTGATCGCGTTCCACCATACCGCCTGACAAGTGCAAATACCGAAAGCGCTTTGTGTCGACAGGCATGGTCGATGCAAACGCCTCAGCAAACGCCTTGGGATACTCTAGCTCTAACATGGGATCACCAGCCGTTGTTGTCATACACCTTGAACGTCAGCAGTTGTTGGGGAGTATGACGCAGGTGCCTCGGTACCAGATGCATCCGTCTGCCCCGGATAGTTTCGCAAGCACATCGTCGGGGTATTTTGTAAAGTCCTCGAGCAACACTACCTCCAGCTTAGCGTGCATTCCTGTCCCGGGTGGGGGCCGCCGTGATATTGCGATGACCCTCGATACGAGCGGGTTTTGTAGCGCATGGTGCAGCACATGCGCGCCGATGCGACCAGTGACACCAGAAACTACGATCTTGAGCGACATGTTGGTAATAGGATATCCGTATCCGAGAGGCAAGTTTTCCAGACTTTGTCAACAATGCGCGTGGCTTTTCTAAGTGCGTTCGAACACGGCGGAGATAGGCCGCATAAGCACTGGTCGCGTTGTGCAATCATCCGTCGGAGCATCCCTGGAGCCGACATGTCGATAATCCAAAATTGCGAACTTCTCAACACCAAAGTACCTATGAAATCGAGAACTGCGGATAAGAGCACACTAAAAGCATCAAACATGAGTATATTCTACCGTACCCGTTCAGAGACACGCTTATTAAGGTGGCCATATCCTCGGGCGAGCCTCCCTTGCCGTTACCAAGCGCCGGAGCTGTATGATCACTAAAGTAGAGGAATTCTCGGCATCCGTTGCGGACGAAACCCGGCCGGCGGTCCGACAGGTCAGCTCCACATCAGCATTGCCATCGCAACACCTTCACCCCGCTATGAAAGTAACATGGCCGCTCCTATCAGGTATAGGCCTGTGACAAGAATACAAGATCTCCATAAATCATACCATCTTCATCGTTTGTTGTCGCCAAGACTATGATGGAATCATTGAGTAACGCGAGTAACACTTCTAAGAAACGACCTTCGAAAAGTCTACGCCGGGCATGCTGGGAGTGTAAGACTAGGATCCGTTTACACATTCTCTGGACTACTTACTGAAGATCCTACAGGCAAGAAGCGCAAGGTTCACGGGAATGCGAGCCAAACTACCCTCAACTCTTCCGCCATCATGGACAACACCGGATCAGATCGGATGGATGACGGGAACCCATGCTCAAACCACATTCAAGAAAGGCTATGCAAACTGGAGCAACTCTTTGAAAGATTTGTGTGTCGTAAAAATGCCACCGCAGGCGCCGCCACTACTGTGCCGCACAGCCCTGCCCTCACTGCCTCAGGCTCGTACGAGAAAGACATCAAACCGGATGTATCGGGACAGCGAAGCGATGCGTATAGCACTTCCTCACTAGCCGATGGGATCGTAAGTCGAGTCGATTCCTCCTACCACCCACACTAACGTTGTCAGCTTGGGGCGCAAACATGGACTTCAGCGCCCTCTCTTCGTACTTTGGTCGACAAATCAGATAGCAAGGGGCAGCCCTCAGGCTACGACAGCAACCACCGAACCCTAGCCGCCTTGTTGCCATCACAGCACGATGCAGATATCATTTTCGAATCGTCTAACGGGTGGATGATCTTGGAAGGCATCTACCGGGCGTCGAAAGAGATATATGTTAACAACGACTTGCAGTCGTATGCTCTGTGTATGCAGGCTGTGGCACAAGAGCGACCTATCATCATCGCTCGCACATTGCTGCATCTGGCCATCTGTATCAACTCGCTCCCACCCGATTTCGACCATTCGCGCCTCTCGAGCATCTGGAACATGGAGGTGACGATGCAAAACTATGTATCGACGGTTACATCGTTGGTAACTTCCTCGGATGAGCAGATGATGACGTTGCATGGGCTTGAGACACTTTTGCTCCTAGCTCTCTACCATCTAAACAGTGCTTCGTTACGGCAGTCATGGCTTGTTGTGCGGCGCGGTCTAAGCCTGGCACATCTTATGGGATTTCAGCGCATCATTGCGCAGGACGACTCCAACCCCCCGATCCCAGCGATTTCGAACGCCAAGTCTATATGGCGCCACTTCGTTGACATTGATCGGTATTTAGGACTGCATCTCCGCCTCCCGTTCGGCGCGGACGACTATCCACTTCCAGCAGACGCCAGCCCGCATCTGGTTCATCGGTCGAAACTCAACTATCTGACAAGACAAGTGGCGGAGCTTGATCGCGATGTCTCGCCACAGGCATACTCGGCAGCGTTGGCATTGGACGAGCAGCTGGAATTTTCCATGAAGGAGATGCCCAAGGACTTCTGGGAAGTGCCAAATATACCGTCGACAGCAAGGTCGCCAGAGTCTTTCGCCACACTGGAGCGACTGATGGTGCAAGTCTGGCACTTTGAGATGAAGCTATTCATCCACCTGCCTTACCTACTCAGAGCACATCTCGACAACCGATACGAGTACTCCAAGGTCACCGCGTTACAGGCCTGCCGGAACATCTTGATGAGATGGTTCGCGCTCCGCAACGCAAGCATCACGCAAGCCTGTTGTCGATTCGCCGAGCTTTCAGTCTTCATCGCCGCCGTCACACTCACACTGGACATCGTCATCGAGCTAGGCACAAAAGACAAAGTCGAAGTAAAGAAGACCAAAGGAACAGACTTCGCCATGATATGTCGTCTCATCGGCGAAATGGAAAAACTGGCCAGCGCCAGCCCACGCGAAAGAATCGCAGCACGCAGCGCTATAGTACTCAAGAAGATCCTCTCCTCACTGGACCCGAGCAAACAGCCTAGTGGCAAAGTCCGCCACACGATACCTTTCTTCGGGACAGTGGAGTTGGAGTTTATGAAGCTGCCCATACGCCCGGTTTTCGATATTGATTCTGATGCGGGCAAGTTGATGAATGCTACGGCTACGGGTCAGCATCTTCCAGTGTTTTCATTCATTGATAACTCGCTGTGGCCGCCGGCTGGTGAGGATGAGGATCAATGGGATATTGTCCTGTTTGATGGGCTTGAGGATCGGGATACGCAGGGCAATTGGGTGTTTTGATTATGGTACTTGGAATATTTAGTCTGCAGATGATCAGGACAGGGACACAACTTTGCTGCTCTTTGCTCTTCGCATGCTGCCCTGCGTATGCACTCAGTAGCGCAAGGTCCCTGCGGCGTTTTGTCTTTGTTTTTGTTGGAATATGTTGTGGGCACGAGCGTATGGCCAATAACTTTTCGGTCAAGGGCCTACCTGGCGTACTTTGTTTGATATCCTCTTAGCGTAGCCTATGTAATATTTTTAGTTTGGTGTTGTTTCTCCTGCCATGATATGCTGAGGGTGGCGAATTGGCACAGTGCAGCGGGGTAAAGGGGTTTCAGTAGCATTCGCACAGCAAGCGCGGATGATGTGATTATGGACGCGCACAGGCGAATGGAATTGGAGTGTCGTGTCTGCCAACAGGCAAAAGCAACGCGCACTAGTGTCGCCAGGTGATGCACCGTGTTGAGCTGGCAGAGGGCTGTCGCGGCAAGGCTGAGGGAGGGACTGCAATGTGCCGCTGGCTGATAGGCTGGTTGGCGCCGGCGTGAGGGTGAGGAGGGCCGAATGCATATCTATCAAAGTCTCAGCTTGGCACGTCAAGTTTCGCGTCTTTGAGGTGGTCGCCGGCAGCGTGAGCCGAGTAACAGTGAGGATGGTACTGCTAGTCGCACCTGGCTATCGGTGAGGCACAAAGATCGCCCGGCGACGGCAAACGGATCGCCTTCATCTTGGCCTAAGAACCCTGGCCTGCGACCGACGGCTGGCCAAGCCATCTCACACGACCATCTTCGCTTGCGCGACACGACTCAACGCGCTCCACCCGTGCATGTCGCTGCTCTCTCCTCCCCGGGCGTGATTGTGTAGACACCGTCACCGTCACCCACCACCCACGCAGCATGAGCACGATACTCCACGGCGGCCACGGCGACTTCGGGGCCTGCACCACCCGCCATGGCGACAAAGCCGCGACGACGCACACCGAGACGATAGCAGCGAGCCACGCCGCCGCACCAGGAGCCGCCCTCAGCCTGTTCGAGTCCATCATCACCTCGTACCCGCCCGTCCTGGAGTCGCTCCTCGCCCAGATCTCCACCGTTACCCTCCTCGAACTCTACCACACATCACGGCACTTGCGCCACTTCCTGCAGCAGTACCCCCTCGCATGGAAGACGCTCTCCTTCCGCCTGCCCCAGCCCGCCGTCGCAGTGGGCTCGCCCGGCAACGAGACGCCTGAGAACCGGGAACGCCAGTCCAAGGCCTACTCGCTGAACGCCCTCCTCATACAGACCATACTGCCAAACGGGTCACGATTGACCAGTCTGGACCTCTGCAACACGGCCGTGGCTGGCGTCTCGCTCATTGGCGACGTAGTTGGCCCGCGCAAGGACACCCTCCAGCATCTGTCGGTACGCGGCTGCAAGAACGTCTCCATCAAGTACCACATCGTGCCCTTCCTCGAGCCATACACGCTGAAGGACGCACCCTGGATAAAGAAGGACCTCGCTCTGAAGAGCCTATACACCTACCGCTGTCGACACCACCGCCGGCGGCCCTATCTGCCCTCCTCCCTCATCCGGCGAGACTCCGATTCCGACCCTACCCACCAGCTCATCGAGATATGCCATCAGTTGGGGATATGGACAGATACAGCGTGGTGTCCGACACCGGGCGGCAGGTGCAACCGGAGGAAGGACTACCACGCCGGAAGAGCAGGACCCCAGAACATGGAAGTCTGGGTACCCTTTGACCGGTTATGGCGATCGAGCAACCGCATTGGCCCGGTGGAAGGCACGACAAAGCTGGGCGAACACGATGGCAGATTATGGGAGATTGCCGAGACAGGAGAAGATGGCGAGCCACTCGGCCCCGAAGACGGGAACTCCGCCGGAGAAGGCAAACATGTCCCGGTGCACGAGCGGAGGAGCCACACTGCCTTTGTTGAAGAGGTCAAATGCGCGCAATGCAATGATCCTATCCTGGAGCGATGCGAGTCGTGCAGTGTCCGCATGCACTGCATGGGCTGCAGGAAGACGCTCTGTGCGAGCTGTGCCTTCAACAGGCCAATACCGAGGAAACGAGTCAAGACACGGCACTTCGCAAACCTGGCTTTTGGCAACAGCAGCACATTAGGCGGCACACTCGGACACGCGTCAGGGTCTTCTGGACCACTGGAAGACCGGAGTCAAGAGGAAAAGGCCGACCAAAACCGCTTCTGGTGGGCCCCGGGCGCGAGCCGATCACCGAACCTCATGAACGAGGGTGCACAGGATGATGACGACTCTGATTCCGAAGACGGGAACAACGGTATGCCTGTACCACCTGCGAACCGCGAGCCACCAAAACTGAACATGCATTGGTGCTGTCTTGAGCCCATCTTCTCTGGTGGTGGCGGTATTGCTGTTCTGGGTACTGGACTGGGCGGCCGAGGAGCGGATAAGATACGCGCAGCGCCTTTACCTCGCACGAAGGAGTATGAGGATCCGGACTTTAGCAACACACTTCGACCCGTGGACTACGTCCGGGAGTTGAAGAACAACGGCCTGTACGAATATGTGCTTGGGGAAGATGTCGATATCCTGTCGTACCTGAAGCAGGATTCGCTTGATCTGCAACAACAAACATGTCCAAGAGGGCTATGTAACGACTGTTATCGAAGCTTCCGGTGGAAAGTGTCATGTCGGGCTTGCAAGAATCCAATATGCAAGGAGCATGATTTCAGGGCGCTCAAGGTCCGCAAGTGTGGCTATCGGGACCTACATACGGAGCGGGACCATGTGAGGTCACACAACGAGCCGCCACAACGCCTCGTCATACCCGAGTTCAACCCAAATAGGGCCAGTACACCGGATCCTGAACGCACACCCACAGCATCGTCATCGCATCTAGACTTCTACTCCACAGGTGACAATGAGTCTGAATCCTCCGAGACACCCATGTCTCAATCGCAGATCATGGTTGCTCCCCAACACTCGTCAATCGATATGTCGACCACCACATCCTTCAATTCCATTTCCAACCCCGAGCCTTTCCAACTTGCCACCTCGCTATCGTTTGTTCCCATCAGCTCTGGGCGTCCGCGCTCCTTCAGTGTGTCCGGCGTTCGCGGTCGACCCACCAGTGCTTGGCCGCCGAATTCGCAACGCGTTCCCATCAATCACCCTGTCACAAATCCTCTTCCCCTACCGTGCAATCCGCGGCACCCCGTTCAGTGGAGTGGTTGTGGTGCATACTTTTGCCAGTACCCGAGACCTGCAGGAGATGTCCGGCCACAGTGTCCAGCAATTCTCAAGGAGTGCTCGGAGTGTGCGGTTCTTGTTTGCGATGTAAGTTCGCTATCTATTTATAAAAATCACAGATTACTAATATGTCTTTAGCAATGCGCATCATCGAATCCAACTTGCACTTGCACATTCTGCACTGTCAACTACCACTGCCCGACATGCACACACAAACCCAACGTTCGCGCCAAATGCCGGCTTGAGGCGGAGATCAAACAAAAGAAAGAAGAGCAACTTCGTGCCATCGCCAAGCAGAGGAAAGACAAGGAAGAGCGCGGGCAAGCAGATGAGCTGGCTGGACAGATGTTTGAGTTCTTCACAACAGTCTATGATGAGAGCACTGTCAACCCGACCATGGATGGCCCCTCATCATATGCACACGAGCTACCCATCCCGAGCCCGGACTCTATCACCGTGACAACAGAATTCGGTGTCATGGAGGAACCCGCAAACCTGACCACCATCAGTGCGTCGGGGCCTTCGCCGTACCACGCTGCCTACGACCATTCTGACGATGAAGAGAACAACGTCGAGATGACTGAAGACGTGAACGAGGAGGTCGAAGCACTTCAACAGGGACTGGCACAAATGCACCTCACCCCCGTGCCCGGCATGAGCGCTCATATACTGCATCTACCGGTAGACGTCGAGGCTGAACACGTTCAGCATGACAACGAGGAGGAACAGACCGAGGAAGTCAACGATACCGGTGCAGAGGCGGATATAGACACCGATGAACTTGACGCAGGTGCCGAAAGCACCTTTGTCGACGAATCCGGAGACGATACTCTAGGCGGCGGTATTCTCACGCCTACAACTACACTCACAGCATGAGTTGCCACTCAACAACTTCGACAGTCTATCTCAACACGCGAAAGCAACGCATCGCTCATACAGCTCACTTCAACATCATCCACAACGGAGAGAAGAAGTACCAAATTGCACTTTAACGGAGTAAGAACAGGCTCGGGAAACAACTTGTCTCCACGGAGCAAGAAACGATGGAGGATCTACAGCAGGTGATACCCAATGGGAAGGAAATACGGTTCGAAAATGGGCAAATTCAGTTACGCTTTACTAGGGCTTTTGCTAGTGGGGAAATGGGAGGGTATTTTACTGGTATATTGGAATTGCAACTGGAACTGGGACTGGAGTAAGTTAGGTTGGTATGGTAAGGGAGGGATATCTTGTGGGTATCTTCATGGTTCCGCATTTTGGCGTTTTTCTTTTTTTTTCAACACTAGAGTATTGGGGTAGTTCAATGAGAGTTTTGGACGTGGGTTTCCAGCTAGAGTTGGTATATGGGCTTTGTTGGTCGATTGTGACTGTTACTTGCAATATGTTTCAAAAGCAAAATGCGTGATACTGACTTCGTCATGACGAACTGCATCGTACATGAAGCTTTCCAAGACGGCAGAACACAGGACATCATAACTAAAGCAGGATAACTTGGTACACATAATCATCATATCATTCATCAACAACCACATCCCTACTCCTTCTTACTCAACAGCACCTCCTTAACCACCTCAATAACCTGCTTAAACGCATCCTTAGGCGCGGCAACAACACCCTTATTCTCCCTAAGCGTCCTGCCCAGACCAAAGTTAAGCGGCTTCCCATACGCATCACTAACCTCACCACCCGCCTCCTGAACCAACACAACACCAGCCGCGTGATCCCAAATCTTCTCCTGATACGTCTTGCTCACCGGCAGTCTGAGGTAAAGATCTCCCGCTCCACGCGCGATGGAACAGTACTTTGCTTGCGAATCCATGCGTACGGAGGGCTTGGTGATGCCTAGCTTGGATGCGATGGCTGCGTTGTCGCCTTGGGAGGAGTGGCCTGCTTCTACGGATTCGCAGAAGGTGGCTTGGGTGACGTCGGAGAGGGGCTTCATTTGTATGGGGTTGGCTTGTGTGAGGGCGCCGGCGCTGAGGGGGCGGCTTGTAGCACCCTGGCCTTTTACAGCGCCGAAGAGCACGCCTTTGCCTTCTTTGTCGTCGGCGTCTTGTCCGGTGGTTGTGGTGAGCGGGGCTTGGTCGTCGACGGGGAGGTTGGGGCACCCGATTACGCCGACGGTGGGGACGCCGTCGACGAGGAGACCGAGACAGACGGCGTATTGTCCACCGCGCAGGAAACCTTTTGTGCCGTCGATGGGATCGAGAGCCCAGATACGGCCTTTGTTTCCGCCCTCGCTGTTTCCTTGGTCGAGTGCTGCGAGCATGGCGTCTGCGCTCTTGATGGGTCCGCCGATCTTTTCTTCTGCGCTGCTGTCGGAGAGCTTCGCGGCTTGTACGAGGTCCCAGACGAGGTCGCGGAGCGAGTCGTTGTTGCGGAGGTCATTGGCGTCTTCTTCGCCGACGACTTCGTCTTCGGGGAAGGCGTGCTTTATTGATGCGATGATGAGGGCTTGTGCGCCGAAGTCGCCGATTGTGACGGGCGAGGAGTCGCTCTTGGAGAGCGTGCCTTTGGAATGGCTCGAGTAGACGGACTTTGTGAGGATGGAGGCGCGTTGGACGGCGAGGAGGGCGATCTCCAGTTCCTTTTCGTAGGCCATGGTGTATATGCTTCGGTTTGCGTTCGTGTGTAAGTGTATGTGCTGTGAGGTATGCAGTGCGGCGGACGGGTAGAAGTGGTGTTTCAATTGAGAAAGACGAGCGACACTGCGAGAGAACAGCGATGGATTGACAAGTGAGATAGCCAGGATGACGAGTGCGAGCAGGAAGAATCTTGATGGCGCAATTTGGGTGGGCATTGAACGCTAACACTAACAATCTTCAGCCCCTCCTTGTCGCTTTGGTGGGGTTCTGCACGGAGGTGGGTGGACGCGACGCAGCCGCTGGCGCTGGCCTTGGCGCTGCGGGCGGAGGTTACTGCATGGGGAATCGGGTCGCCGCCATGGCAACAACACTCTCGTCAACGGCTTTCGACTGCTGTTAGTGCACAGACATTCGAGATTGCGGTCTTGTCTCGCGAAGTACAGCTTTTAACATATCTTTTCGCCTGCGACTGATCGATGCTGAGTGAATAGACGGACCTGACATTCGACTCGAGTGGACGTAAACAAAGATCGACACACGACTCTACGACGCGCGCATCCCAATAATCACACCCGAACGATCCGCCTTCCCGCTCAAGTTATCGCGGACTCATTCACTCCGGCATCATGACTTCAACAGAGCAGCAGCCTGCGCTTGCGACCACGAAGCGCAAGTTCCACAAGCTGCTCGATAACCTCACCGCAAGCAACTCGACGACTTCGCTCGCGAGCACCCTCCAAGAATCAAATGCATCGACCGCGTCCCTCTCCGCGCTTTCGGAACCAGACAGCCCTGAACATCCGAACAAGCGTCCGCGCAGCGCAAACCTGAGCATGGAGCGCCAGAGAGGCATATCGGAAGGGCAGGAGCGCATACGGCAGCTCAAGGAACAGCTTATGACCCCACGGAGAGAAAAGACAATCAAGGTTGTAGGCAAGACGGTAGTCACACCAAAAGCCTCGACGCCGCGCAAAGCACCCAACTTCCAACCATACAGCCAGGAGCACTTCCTCGAGCGACTGAAGACGTTTGCAGACGTGAGGAAGTGGACGACCAAGCCAGATGCGATCAACGAGGTCGAGTGGGCGAAGCGGGGCTGGAGTTGCGATATCTGGAACACAGTAGCTTGCAAGGGTGGATGCGAGAACCGTGTTGCGGTTAAGCTGAGGCCGAAGCGGAAAGATGCGAACGGAAAGGATCTAGAGATGAGCGAGGATCTGGCTTTCGATATCGATGACGCTCTGATAGATCGATACAAGGATCTCATTGTCGAAGGACATTCAGACGACTGTCTGTGGAGGAAGCGAGGTTGTCAAGGTATGATAACACATGCAGTAAGAGCGGTAACACGACTAACGACCCAAACAGAAGACATCTACCACATCCCCATCGCATCACGCACCAAGAGCTCAGCGGAGCTCCTCGACCGATACCGCTTCCTCAAAGCCATAGCCACCGACCTCCCCCTCCTCGAACACATCACCTACCCCGACCCGCCCATCCAGCAAATTCTCTCCCGCATCCCCTCATCGTTCTTCACATCCACCGGCACACAACCCCCACTCTCCCCCAGCGACACCGTAGCCTTCGTCTTCGCCCTCTTCGGCTGGACCGGCGTCTCCGAATCGCGCATCTCCCTCGCAGTATGCAACCACTGTTTCCAGCGCCTGGGTCTCTGGCTCTCCTCCGCCACGCGCCTTACAGAGATGAGCAAGAAACTAGACGTGCCGATCGAGAGCCTACGACTCAATCTCCTGGAATCCCACCGCGAGCATTGTCCCTGGAAGAACGCCGACATCCAAGCCAACGAAAAAGACAGTCCAATAGCCAACATGCCCGCCTGGCAAACCCTCCAATTCATGCTCCTCGGTCGGCACAAAGACATTCCTACCTCTGGCTCCGGCATCCAGACCCCGTCTAAACAAACACCACGCAAATCGCACCAGCAACACGCCAGGAACAACGATAGCGTGGACATTGGCAGCGAGCTCGAATACCCGCGCGGCAGTTTCGATAGCGTCGAGAGGCCGAAAGATGTGGACGAGGATGAAGACGGCGGTCTGAGAGAGAAATGGAGTAAACTCAAGGCGAAACTGAAGCGTAGTGCGAGTAAGAAGAGCTTGAAGAGTATGAAGAGTGGGAAGAGTGTTAAGAGCGGGAAAAGTGTTGCGACGAAGGCGGGGGATAAGGAGAAGTCTTAGAAGGGCTTTTTGAGGTATCGCTTTGCGTGAGAGTCTGTGTGGTTTATCCTTGTTTCGGTCTCTGAGCATGGGTTTATTATGGGGAAGGGAAGGGATGGGGAGTTCAAAGTATGTTTTGTAGTTTTATTGGTATACCCCTTGTAATACACGTTTATGGAGGTCATGATCAAAGAGGCGATGAAGATGTTGAACGATTGCATCATGACATTCATACATAGATATGCGTGGTAGAGTAAGAAGCTAAGCTCTAGATGATAACTAAAGAAGATAAAACGCCAACCCAAATGCAGACCAGATGATGAGCCAAAGCCAGAATGCTCTAATAATGACTTTTCCGTCCTGGAGAGATGACGCCTAGGCATCGCCCTCCATCTTCACGTCGTCGTCTTCAACCTCGACCTTCATAGCGCCCTCTTCCTCCTCGGCGACCATGGCCTCTGTGGCTTGCTCGCCGTCACTAACATCACCCTCATCCTTCACCTTGGCATCATCTTCGCCTGCCTCTTCAGCATCACGAGCTTGCTGCTCCGCCTTGGCCTTATCAGCAACGTGGTTAATGATCTCAGTGTCCTTCTCGTTGAACAATCTCAGCAGCATGGCCTTGCGGTCGTCTTTGTCGACCATGAGGTTGGCGCTGCCGGGATGTCTCCAGAGAGGAAGCACCATGCGGAATGGGATGCCCTTCTCGTCGTCCTTCTCGACGCGGATAAAGCAGCAGCCAACGTCCATCTGCTGGAGCTGCGAGCCGACTTCACCGAGGCCGGTGTCGCCCTCTTTGGGTAGCTTGGGGAACATCTCGCGGATGAGCTGGTGAAGGGTTTCCTTCTTCTCTAGCTTGACTATGCGCTTCCTTGCCCATGGCTCGAGGATACGGATACCCTCGTTTTGTAACCTCCATGGCGCTTGCGTGCGGTCCTGGTCCTTGATCTTGTGCGCGACGAACATGACGACACCGCAATGTATGAACTTCATGCCACGGTCTTTGTTGAGCGTGAGGATGGTTCTTGCCAAATCAGAGGTGTAGTAGATCTTGTTGAGCGAGAGACCCTCCTTGTTCTTCACCATGAAGCGGTCGCGTGGGAAGCGATCGTCGATACCAAAGAAGTTCATGATGGAGGCGATGGTTGCATCGTCAGAGGGGAGGTATTCAAAGTACTCCTTGGCTTGCGACTGGTTCTCAGGCTTCAAGCGGGCAGCTGAGCCGTTAGTGGCAGGCTTTGCGTCTGGTGTTTGAGCTGTCTCAACGACTGTGTCCTCGGTCTTGGCCTTCTTGGGGGCTTCGGTATCTTCATCCTCCTCCAGCTTACGCTTCAGGGGAGCCGTCTCAGAGGTCTCATCCGCAGACTCTGTCTTGGTAGCGTCGGCTTCAATCACGTTCTCAGCAGGAGTGGGGATCGATGATTCGGTGGTCGTGTCGGCGTTGGCGTGTGACCTCTGGGCCTTGGCCAAGTTCTCTGGGTTCTGTACCTGCGCAATCTTGATGTCATCCACCTTCTCAAGGATGGCGATGAAGAAACCGCCAGTATCTTGCAAGTGTGGGTAAACACGAATGCAGTTTTCAAGAGGGATGCGCTCTTCCTCGGACTTCGGTACAGGGGGGAAGCATCCGGGAGTGACCTTGGTGGAGAACTGACGTTCGGGCTCTTCTGCCTCGTACTTTGCCCTCGCTTTTTGGTAGGCTTCCCAGTTGGTGAACATGTGAGCGGTCTTCTCTCCTCCGGCAGTGACTGACGATGTGTCGAGCACCTTCCACACGTTGAGACCGGGCTTTCGCTTGAGGTTTGGCAGGTGGTCTGAGCAGTCCACGAGTCGGACCTTGGAGTTACCACCGCAAGCCTCGATAGCTGCTGCAACGACAGCCTCGTTCTCCACGGGGTTCAAACTGCAGGTAGAGTACACCATGCGACCTCCCTTCTTCAGCATCTGAAGACCTCGGAACAGAATGCGTAGCTGGAGACCGTGAAGGCCAAGACCATCCTTAGGCGTCCACTTCTGCCATACGTTCGGGTTCTTGCGGGCTGTTCCGTCACCAGAGCAAGGCACATCAGCCAAGATCCTGTCGTACTTCAGGTATTGTTTCCGCTGTCCATCGCTGGGTAGTTCGATCGAAGGGAAGATGGAGGCGTCGTGTTGGCTTACGATAAGGTTGGGGAAGTTAAGGCGCTTGACCTGATGGACCAACATGCCGGCGCGCTTGTAGTCGGAGTCGTTCGCGATGAGGAGACCTGTTGAGCGCCCGTCATCACTGTAGTCACCGTCTTGACTAAGGTCGACCGACTCGCCGTTCGCCACCCGCTGTACGCGCTCTTCCTCATCGCCGTGAATCATCTCAGCCAACTGTGCCGACTTGCTTCCCGGTGCTGCGCACATGTCGAGGACTACCATGCCTGGCTTGACGTCGAGAAAGTGTGGCGGTATCATGCTGACAACTTCCTGTCTGCTGATGTTTCCAGACGCAGCTTCGGCGACGAGGAACTTCTGGAAGTCGGCAAAGGGCGCATGTCGGCGAATGACCTTCTTGTGCGTCTTCATGTGCCATACGAGCTCATCGGGGAAGGCCTGGACTGCCTCGGGAGGCGAAACGGGCTTGCCTTCGAACTGCTTGGATGCGATCGCCGGGATGTAGCGCTGCTTGAAGATTTCGCGCACTGCGAGGGCATCGGACTTGGTGCCAGTGAAGCGGAAACTGTTCGGCAGGTCGGTCTGGAGAGCCTTCCACATCTCCTCGAACTCTGCTTCTTCCAAGAATCCTCCCATGCGATAGTAGCTCTCGAAGAGCTCATTCTTGCGCTCAATGGTGGACCATGGCTCTGAGC